CTAGTTTCAGGGTATATCTATCATTGGATGAGAAAGGCTCTATCTTAGGGTTGGCCTCTTAAGTGGACACTATATACTGGGTTAGACGATTTTGACCACTAAAGGTTCTCAAATTATTCATTACATCATCATCCATCACAGACTAGTAAGATAATCCAAACCTCACCCATCAAGGCTACCAAAAAAAAGATTCAATTTGAGTGAGAGTATTTCGCTAGTCACTATAAAGGCATTAGAACCTCACGAAAGTATAGGTACTTTATTCCTCATAGAGGGACAAAACTCGGGTATTGAACTCATGTTATGCATATGCATATGAATGACATAGTTTGCAACATAAATAAATAAAATGAATGAAAAAAAAAGAAAAAAAATCTTTACAAAGAATTCAATTTTATTAGGCTTTGTAGATAACACGAATTTTTTTGCTGGCCTGACTCTCGGCTATCCTCAGTGGAGTTGTCAAACTGTCATAACGTTTAGATCCATAAACTTATCACTAAACTTAATAAAAAGAGTCGCTACCAATCTTTTTTATCTATGTGTGATTGATCACCTAACCGAATTTATCCCTTTTTAAAAAGAAATTTTAAGTTTGGTTTAGGTATCTTTAAAAGATAAATTCAACGTCTATGAAACCAGAACTAGGTTCAAGAGTACAATTACATATGAGAAAGGTTATAGCACCCTTACAACGCTCATCAAAAGATGGTACCAGTTCGATTTCGTGTTATTCATTAAGCCTTAAAACTTTACCAAGCAATTAATTATTAAAAATTATTCTTAATCAACTCTAATATTTTTAGCAAAAAATTAAAAAAAATTTCTTACCTCGAAAGTATACAAGAAAACTACTGTTTATCTTGTAAAAACTTTGTCGTCAGATTATTTAATATTAAAAATTTTTCAAGGAAAGAAAAAGATATAATGAGAAAGGAATGATGATTCGACTTTCAATATAAACTTTTTTTTTTGTTTTATAAGAAAAAAACTCATGCTTTCACAAGAAAAATTGATACTTTTCAACTTTTTTTTAAATACATTTTAAGGTTTTTATTCTAAAAAAAATTGATACTTTCAACTTTTTCGTAAAAATATTTTTCTTGATAATTTTATTTTAAGAAAATTCATATTTCAATTTTTCCTCAAAAAATGTTTTTTTTGAAAATTTTATTTTCAAGAAAAATTGATATTTTCAATTTTTTCTTAAAAATCCCTTCTTAAAATCTTTTTTTCTTTCAAGAAAAATTGATATTTTTAACTTTTCCTTTAAAAATATTTTTAAAAATTTTTATTTTCAAAAGAAATTGATACTTTCAACTTTCCCTCTAAATATATTTTTTTATTTTATGTTCAAAGAAAATTCATACATTCAACTTTCCTTCAAAAATATTTTTTTTCAAATTTTCATTTTAAAAAGATCATTGAAATTTTAAGGGTGTTTAATTAAATAAATAACTTATTTCAATTTAGTCAATAAATAAATAAGGGAAGAAGAAAAAATAATAATAATCAATAAATAAATAATAAAACTAATGAAAAAAAAAAAACCTTTGGCTCGGCTCAGTTGAGCTCAAACAGAGCGTAGCTCCAGAGATAGAATCGACTCAAAGGCGCGACTAATGGATCGGCTCGGCTTGACTCAATCATAGGTAGAGACGCGGGTTGCTGGTACGAGTCATGCTATCCACATAAAAACACGCGGACCCTGCTCTTAGCTAATACAAAAAATGACATCACTTTATATGACTATATAAGCCTGAGTTTTAGCCTTTTACTTTAATTTTCACCTTTACACTCGCTCTCTACCCTCAACTTTCTCTCATTATCTCTCTAGGGACAGAAGAACTCAGGTTGAAAACTTCAAAAGTTTTTAGATTCAGTCACCGGCATCGTCGTACTCCACTGTTCGACTATCGATCAAGCCAAAATTCTCCCAATCCTGTTTTTTACTCTCTTCGTCGTGAATATGGGCTTGTTTTTTAGTAAATCTCTCCCTAAAGGCATAGATCTGGCATCCAAGTTATGATATTTCTTTCTTTTGTTTCAGCCTTTCTCACCGTCAGATCTTCACCAACTTTCAGTATGTGATTTTTTTTGTCAAGCTGCACGTCTCAACCATTCAGATCTTCCAGAGTCACACCAACCATTGCCTGTCACCGTCACCATCAGAGAAGTTTTGATTTCTCTTTTTTTCTCATCTTTTCTCATCTGTTTTTGATCTCATTTAGTTTTTGACTTTAGCCTTGTTATTTGTCTTTGTGTTTCTAAGCTTGTTGATATCTTACTACCTTATTGGATATTTGTTGGATATGGGTCGTGTAGCTCTATGATTGCTGGTGCAATACAATAGCTTATATCCGACTATGAAAGATGGTGGCAAAATTAGCTTGGTGGAAATTGGTGTTGCCATCACCACTGGCCATCACTGTGCTCCATTGTCATTCCGAGCTTCTTCGATCTCTTTTGAAAGCTAGGTTTGACAACCTTACAATTCAAGACCTCTGAAAATTCCAGAGCATACTGTCGTGCCTTCCTTCTGATCCTTCTAATTCTGTGTTGGCCCTCTGTGTTTATACTAAAACTTTGTTTTTAATTGTATGTTGTTACTAGCTGAAAAGTCAAGCTCAAGTGTTGAATTGTGATTCTTACTGGGAACGAATTTGCTAAAAATTTGATGTAATTTTCTTTTTTGATCACTTGTTCGTGTATCTGTGTGTGACCTATCTGATTAACCTATCTGTATTCTTAATTTCTTGATTCTCTTGTATTTCTGTGATATCTCTTTTCTGTCATCTTTCTATAATCTTTGTGCCAATTTTATAGAAAAATTTAGAAGAATCCCTTATTAACTCAACCTTTGACAAGAATTTGATATTATCAGAAACTTAGAATTTTCCCTAAACAAATTTAATCCTTTTAAAAATCTACCAGCATGCATTCACATGGCCAAATTTTATCTTTCCTCATTTTTTTCCTTTGCTAATATCTTATTATCTTAAAATAAAATAAAATAAATCAAAATAAATAAAATAACAAACAATTAGGCCTATTTGGATCCCATTGGACTAGGCCCAATGGCCTAAGCTCATACCTTATTGGATCAGGCCTAATAGGTTTGGGTCCAGACTAATTAGGGTGTCTACAAAGACAACTGAATATATAACAATTAATACTAAGTTAATATAAATAAAATTAAATCATATAATAGATTAATGATGTTCTCACTTTTCACCTATAGTCACATAGCAAAATGTCATTGAACCAACAACATTCATTGCTCCTAGTGCCACCATTTCTCTATTTTGATCTAATTGCTGGCCTTTTTATTGAAGTAAAAGTTCTTACATTGACTATAACTTCCTATTAAATTGACCTACCAAAGAAAAAAAAATGGAAACATAAAAGGTCTAATTATATACAATGTCATAATTGAATTTCTTGGTTAGTGAATATGGATAAAAAACCAAAAAAAAAAAAAAAAAAGCTTACTAGCAATCCTATCATACCAGCCATGACACCAATCCTCAAACCTTAAGGAAGATATTCACCAGCAAAATAATTTTGATTTGCATATGAGAGCATAATTCTTTTCTCAATGTTTTTCATCTACATAGATAAAAGCACACAACAGTGCCACTATCATTACTTAATACCAAACTGCCATAATTTTTGCCATTACTTTGAGCTATTAAATTGAAAATTTGCACTAAAATTTATTAAAAGTAAAGAATATATTTATAATTTGAATTTTTTTCTACATGTATTATATAAAAGGAAAAAAAGGTGCAAAGAACAACAGATATCGATAGAGCTATTGTAAGTACCCAAAAAAAATTGTTGTTATTTTTTCCCTATTTCTTAAAACATGTGAAAATTAGAAAATACTCATATGCTTGTTATAGTCCATAAAAAGAAATAAGACTTGAAGGCTCTTATAATTTACTTAACAAACATAAGAAATGACAAAAAGCTAACTCTAATATGATAGTCAGCCAATTCCACTACAAAATAGTATTATATAGATTTAGTAACTAAAATGTATTGGGTGATAACATGATATTGGTTGAAAATTCTTCTGAAAGTACGTTAGGACTTTTCAAAATGAAAGAATCAAAATACCTTTTTTTTTTTTTTTTGAAAAAGTCGAGATGGAAGGCTCCTTACTTTTAAGGGCATTACCCCATACATGATGCATTACAAAAATAATATCTAGTTTCTTTTGTAAGTATTTTTATGCCAAAAAAGCCTTAAGTTTTTGAATGGCAATTGTAACAGCAACTCAAGCCATAAAACTGATAATTGAAGTAGGAATAGGAAGTTAATCAAAAAGCCTAATCTACTTCTTTGATTTCAAAAGTCAATTTAATGAATTATAGAAGTAATAAAAGAACGGTACAAATTTGAATAGAATAAAGCTAACAGAACACAAATTATGGGAAGAAATTGTCAGACTTCCATGAGTAAAATACATAATTACTTGAGAAAATCAAGAATTTCTTAAGTAATTTTAGCAAAAAACAAAAACAAAAGGTTAAATCAATAGTTAGACATTCTTAAAAATAATTAGATAATAATTATATCTTTAAAAATAATCAAATGACAATTATAGAATCAAGAATAACTTAATAATTGTACAATTATATCGAAATTAAATAAAAAATCAAAAATTAATAAGTTACAAAAGAAATATTCAAAATTTACATAAAGCCTAAATAAGAAAAGCATCATCTCTATAAAGTAAAAAGTTACATAAAAAAATTTAATTGAAAAACAAAAAAGGTACTTTTAATCGGCACTGCTTAAGAAATATCTTGTGAATATCCAATAAAATCTTTATTAAAAACCTTTAAATTTCTTTGAATAACAACCAAGTTACCAACAAAAAAATAAATTAAATAAAATTATCAAGTAAATCATACTTAAAACTAAATAAAAGATTTTGATAATATATTCAATATTTGTATTCTTTCAAATCTTTCAAATACAATCTTTAAATATCCGCCTAAAACATTATAAATCCATAAAATTCAATTTTGTGACGAGAATTTCATAAATTTATGAATTCGAATTTGAAAACTTAGTTATGGAGTCTAAAAAATAAATTATCAAAGACAAAAAAGAGAGCGAGTGGGTACTAGGCTTTTTCGTTGAACTGCTACGTGGAGGTTGCATAGCAATAGTAATTCGTGACTTAATATCTTTCGTTGCCTCGCTTTTTAACAACTCGATTTAGCCACCAATTGTTTGATAAAACACCTTCATTCACGGGTTGACCTTTTTTTTTCTCCAGGCTTTCTCTATCTCTGTCGTACTTTATGACGCACTCTTAACGAAGGCCAGACCGATGATAAGCGTCAGATCAAATTCTTCTTCTTTTATTTCCTTACTCTTTTTCCTTTCGTTCTCATTTCTTCCCCTCTTTTCGTGATTTTTGAACCATTCTTTGCCTTTTTTTAGTTTGTTTTTTTTCATTTACCTTTCTCTTGAATCTTTTATAATCTCTTATAAGAAATTTTTATTTTACAATAAAGATCGGATAATATCCTTAATAAAATAAAAAAAAAATTGTCTTAAAATAAACAGCTGTTGCTTGGAAAGGAGTCGGAAGATAACTTTATAAAGTAGTTAGATGTACGTGGAAGTTCAACATGGTAAAAAATTAGAATCTTTTAGATTCCAATCTTCTTACAAAAGTAAGAATCCATTTCAGGCCTAAATTGTCCTTTTATAACACAACACTGAAGGAAATGAAAAGCGTTTGGTAAGTCAAAAATCATAAAATTTGCAATTAATCGCTGAAATTTGCTTTTATAAATAATTTTAGCAAATTAGTTCTTGTCGATTCTAACTTCTAAAGATAATTCATGTGTATTATTTTTAATATATTTATTGTCATATATCATTACCATTTATAAGATTAAATTGTGAAAATTATATTTTTAACTAATAATTAAAATTATATTAAAAAATAATTAAAGGGTGTCCAATCTATCTTTAATATACACTTTTTAACAGATAGGTTAATTTAAATTTTACGGGATGTAGACATTGACGTTGACACAAAAGTCGGTTTAATTTTATGATTTCCATATTTTTAGGTACCAAGAAGTTTTTTTTCTAGATCCGCTTTCCGTTATGTTCCAGTTGATTTTATGGAAAATATGACTTTCTCTAATTACCCTTCTCCCGTGAACTGTAAATTTGGTAATACTTTCTGTTATGGTAAGCGCTAGTCTACTGCTATTGTTTCCTACTCTCAAGATGGCGCTAGTCTGTGGGAAATGTCGCTCTAAAAAAAAAAAAAGAGATTAACACAAGAGTTTTTTTTTTTTTTTTTTTTTAATTCTGTGCAAAACCATCTGCTTTATACATATATAAAACTGCCCCGACTTCCTCAGAGTTCACCCAAATCATTGATTTCTTTATCAGAATTATATTTCTTTTCTTTTTCATTCACTTTTTATTAAGTTACTTCACTCCGGAAAGTGTGATCATGGCGAATCCTAAGCTCAGTCGAATGCCAAGCATCAGAGAGCGCGTGGAAGACACGCTTTCGGCTCATCGTAACGAGCTCGTCTCTCTTCTCTCCAGGTTTTCTCCTCCGCAATTCTCCACTTTATCACCCTCTTCTCTTTTCCTTTTTGGTTTTTGAATTTTTTGCGGTATCTGTTTGGTTTCTGAGAAAACTGTGATAGGAAAGAAAATGTTACGTTGTGGAATTTGAAGGTACGTGGCGCAGGGAAAAGGAATATTGCTATCGCATACGTTGATCGATGAGCTGGATAATATTATAGGCGACGAAGAAGCTAGGCAGAGGCTTACTGATGGTCCCTTTGGCGAAGTCCTTAAATCTGCGCAGGTCATTTTCCTCCCTCTCTCCTCTTCTCTCTTTTTATTTGCTATTTTTTCAAGAATTGTTAAATTATCTATTGAAAAGGAAAAAATAAAAAGAAGCAATGTTTAGATATTTATTTATTTTTCCTCCACAATTCACGATTCAGTAAATAAATTCATTATTTACAAATAAACTATTTTTATAATACTTTTAGGGGTAAATTGTTTTTAATATGCCTAACAATTTATTTGCTGTTGATTTTTTAATTCTTTTTTACTGGGTAGGCTTTTGATCTCAGTCAAATGGAGTCTTTATTTTATGTCATACATACTTGATATTTTAAACTGTTGGTTTTCGTTGTCTTGTTTGATTCTAGGAGGCTATAGTTCTACCTCCGTACGTGGCCATGGCAGTTCGTCCAAGACCTGGTGTTTGGGAATATGTCCGAGTCAATGTCCATGAACTCAGCGTGGAGCAACTGAGTGTTCCCGAATATCTTCAATTCAAAGAAGCACTTGCGGATGGGGAGTAAGCATCTTTTCTGTTCTTTGTAATTCGTTTTTATTTTTTTATTTGAAGTCAAACTATTTGGTTATATAATGTTCTAGGTCATAACTCATTGGGCATTTTATTGTTAATTATTGGCTTTTTATATTTTTACATTTCATAGGGATAACAAACATTTTGTGCTGGAGCTTGATTTTGAGCCATTCAATGCATCCTTTCCTCGGCCCAACCGATCTTCATCCATTGGCAATGGTGTTCAATTCCTCAACCGTCACCTTTCTTCAAACATGTTCCGTAACAAGGATAGTTTGGAGCCATTACTTGATTTCCTCAGAGCTCACAAATATAAAGGACATGTAAGGATTTTTTGAAGGGGGTTTCTTCTAAAATCATTTTCACCCTCAGCAATTTGGTTTTAACAGCATTATACGACTATTGTCCTTGTATGTCGCCCCTGTCATTTACCATAATTGCAATTTCACTAGTTTTGTCTTATGTTCTTTTAATTTTTAGATAAAAAAATGTGCCTTGTGGTTCTTGTGGTGCGGGATTAACAGATTTAGAGAGGAATATATGGGAGTATTTATTTTCTAATGAAAAGCTTACAGCATCATGAATTAATGAAGGTCTTTATGTAGGCATTGATGTTGAATGATCGGATACAAAGTGTACCCCGACTTCAAGCTGCTCTGGCTAAGGCAGAAAATCATCTCTCTAGGCTTCCACCTGATGCATCCTATTCTGAGTTTGAATATGTGTGAGTTTCTATTTATGTTTTCTATCTGGATACACATTCAAATGCATACATATACAAACTGATAGAGCACTAAAGCTGTTGACATCTCTGTTTTTCCTTGTTGTATGAATGCAGATTACAAGGAATGGGTTTTGAGAGAGGTTGGGGAGACACTGCAGTACATGTTCTGGAGATGATGCATCTTCTCTTGGACATCCTTCAGGCTCCTGATCCCTCTACATTAGAGACATTCCTTGGGAGAGTACCAATGGTGTTTAATGTTGTCATTCTGTCTCCGCATGGATACTTTGGGCAAGCAAATGTTTTAGGATTGCCTGACACAGGTGGGCAGGTTTGTAGTGAATGCTGAAAGCATGGAAATGTATTCAAATTTTTGTTCATCAAGGACTTGAATCTTTGTTTTTCCTTTCATGTGCAGGACTACGGCTTGTGTATAATGTGCTGAACAACATATATGGAAATATCATCATTTAATATGTCCATATTTCATATTTAATGTGCAGGTTGTTTATATATTGGACCAAGTGCGTGCCTTAGAGAATGAAATGCTTCTTAGAATAAAGAGGCAAGGACTTGATATTACTCCCAGAATTCTTATTGTAAGTATACCTACATCTAGTCTAGATTTGTTTCTTTCATTTTATAATTTTTATATTTTGCGTGTGCAAATTTGACATATTTTTCCTGGCTGTTTAAGGTGACCAGGTTAATACCTGATGCAATAGGAACCACTTGCAACCAGAGGCTGGAAAGAGTCAGTGGGACAGAACATACTCATATTCTCCGAGTTCCTTTTAGATCAAAAAATGGAATTCTTCATAAATGGATATCAAGATTTGATTTATGGCCTTATCTGGAGACTTATGCTGAGGTAAAATCATTTTGACTATTGAATATAGTCAAAGGCTATTATTTATTTGGAAGAAAAAATGATGAAGATATTTCAACAATCACTATGTATTTTAGGACATTTAGTTATTTGTATATTAGTTTCTATCTTTGCTTTCGTCATTATTCATTGTAACATGCTTTCCTGGCTGTATATATAACCAGGATGTAGCAAGTGAAATTGCAGCAGAGATGCAGGGTATTCCAGATTTTATCATAGGGAACTACAGTGATGGAAACCTTGTTGCATCTTTGTTGGCTCATAAAATGGGTGTTACACAGTTTTATCTCTCCTCTCTCCTGACTTCCTCCGCACTCCATTCTTTCATTTTTACTTTTGCTGAAGTCATTGCAACTATATCTTCTAACTTTTGGATTTTACTTGTCTAAATTACACTTTTTTCAGTGCACCATTGCGCTTGCATTGGAGAAAACCAAATATCCAGATTCAGATATATATTGGAAAAAGTTTGAAGAGAAATATCACTTCTCTTGTCAGTTCACTGCTGACTTGATAGCCGTGAATAATGCAGATTTTATTATCACCAGCACATACCAAGAGATAGCAGGAACGTAAGTTTTCTCCATTTACTGTGGAATACGCTATTTATTTTCTGGATTACTGTCAGCACCATTCATTTTAGTATGGTCATGTTGTCATTAATCATTATTGTTGTTTTATCTTAAAATGTTGTAAGAACGCTGTTTATATTAATGCACTTTAATTCAGCTTGCTTTCTTATAGCAAGGAGATGATCCCTCAGCTTAAACATATATAACCATTCTGGGAATTGGATTCTCTGTAGTTGCATATGCAATGCGAACTAAATGATGCCCTTTACATTATATCAATTGGTTATCGTGCATGATCTTTGCTTCAGGAAGAATACTGTTGGTCAGTATGAGAGCCACACTGCTTTTACTATTCCAGGGCTGTATCGAGTGGTTCATGGCATTGATGTTTTTGATCCAAAGTTCAATATTGTTTCTCCAGGGGCAGATATGTGCATTTATTTCCCATACTCTGATAAGGAAAATAGACTTACGGCTCTCCATGGCTCAATAGAAGAATTTTGGTATGACCCTGAACAGAATGATGAACACATGTGAGTTTCTTTGTTCTTTTTTTTCTTTACCTTATATAATAATGTCTACAGCAGCATAATCTTTGAATCAAATAACATTATAATCTGCTTCTTCTACCACAGTTTTCTATTTATTGAACAATTATAACATCACAAGTTTCTCTAGATAGTTACATGAAAGAACAAGGCCAAATCAATTTTCTTTTACAATAGGATGCCAGAATGACAGGAAATTTTCCATTTTATGTGTATAAATCATATGTCTGCATTTTTTAGTTTTAGATATTCTCAAATTTTGCTTGCAGATAATGACTACTAGCAGTAAAATTGCTGCTCAAATGAGACAGATGTTTAACCAGAATTGCAACCCAAACTTTTCTTCATTGTGTTTAGGATAGAAGACAAGATAGTAAAATGAAATTGCTAAGTTGCATAGAGGCTGAACTAATTTTTAAGCACTTCTAAAATTTCCTTCCCTTTTTCCTTTTCCTATATTTGAGTCACATAAAACCCTGAAATTTATTGAATATAGTGAAGAATGTGGGTTGTCAAGAATAAGAAATTACTATTTAAGGATATCTACTTGCAAGAATCTTAATAGCTGACATTGAATGGATGACTTGGCTTTCTACTGTAAGACTATAATGCAATTGTGAGATTTCTTAGGTAATTAATACACAGTTGAGGCGAATTTACCTTGCTGTAAAAATTTTCGACTTAAGTAATGATAATTATTGTCAGTTTGCTAAGTTTTTGATGCAAGTTTCATCTTTAATATGCAGTGGTACTTTGAGTGATCAGTCGAAGCCCATAATCTTTTCCATGGCAAGGCTGGATCGAGTAAAAACATGACTGGATTGGTAGAGTGCTATGGTAAAAATACCAAGCTGAGGGAATTGGCAAACCTTGTTGTTGTTGCTGGTTACATTGATGTAACTAAGTCCAAAGACAGAGAAGAGATACAAGAAATTGAAAAGATGCATGGCCTTTTGAAAACGTATAAATTGGATGGTCAATTTCGTTGGATTGCAGCCCAGACAAATCGAGCTCGCAATGGTGAGCTCTATCGCTACATAGCTGACACAAAAGGTATTTTTGTACAGGTATGTGCCCTTTAGTGATATGCTTCTGATGTATTACAACCACTTGAGCATTCTAATTACTTCACCTTTCTCATTTATTTCAGCCTGCCTTCTATGAAGCCTTTGGACTTACAGTGGTGGAAGCCATGACTTGTGGCCTTCCAACGTTTGCCACATGCCATGGTGGTCCCGCAGAGATTATTGAACATGGTATATCAGGATTCCATATTGATCCATATCACCCGGATCAGACTGGTCAACTCCTTGCAGATTTTTTTCAACGTTGCAAGGAGGATCCAAGCCAATGGACTAAAATATCTGATGGCGGGCTCAAGAGAATTTATGAAAGGTTTGCTTTTTCCAATTTACATCAATACTTCTATTCAGTCTACCATCGCTGTGGAGCTCAAGCAAAGATTTTGAAATTGTAGGTATACGTGGAAGATTTATTCTGAAAGGCTGATGACATTGGCCGGGGTATATGGTTTCTGGAAGTATGCCTAAAACTTGAGAGACGTGAGACCAGAAGATATCTTGAAATGTTCTACATCCTCAAGTTTCTTGATTTGGTAAGCGCACTTTGATCCATCGTTAAAATTATTGGAGTGATGTTGCCACTCCGTTCCTAACCTCCTTAAAATTCCCAGAATGCTGTTAGATTATAACCGTGCTTAATTCTGCTTCGTTGTTTCAACTAACTGTTTACGTATAGGATTTAATCATGCTTGTATTCCTTTCAGGTAAAGTCTGTTCCTTTGGCCAGTGATGATTAAAGCTTAATCCCTTGCTGCTTCAGAATCTGGGTAACCCATGCAACAGTGACTTCACACAATAATGATAGCATATCTATATATATATATATATATATATATATATCAAGGATGAAGAATGTACATAAATATGTGCGAGTCTTCCTGCCTATGACGCTTTTGTGTTTAACTTTGACTTATGTTGGAAGTAAAATCATGTTTCAACCTGTAGTAAAATAAATTAGAATATATTGGCTTGGTCTGCCTGCCCCTAGAAATCTTCTTGATGATACGTATTTCAAGCTAACAATACCGGCCGAGGTTTTTGAACTACTTATAAAAAAAAAAAAAAAAAACTGTAGGAAAGATGGAACACATTAAGAGAACCAAAGATAATTGTCCAGAATCCATTTTCACAGTATATTATGTTGACGGCATTTATTTTTAAGCCTTTTAAGGTGTCGCAAGAATGATGCGGGGTGTTTGGTCGAAAGACTTTCGAGTGGTAGCTCCTTTCTATTTGACCGTTACGAGAGCCCTCTATATGGATGTTGGTCGGTAGCTTTTCAGAAACATTATACGGGCGACGGTGGGAATCTCTGTTATTAAGGTTTTGGACTTCGGTTCCTACCATCTAACCAGTTTCACCTAGGTTGAGGGAGCCGAGGTGGGTGTTGGGGTTATCCACTAGACTTATCTCAGTACCGAGCTCCAGATACACCTGACAACCTCTAAGAAAAAACCAGCTTTTTTGACCACGACTCACGTCCCCAACAGTGTCACGTGTTCAAACAAAATCCCTTTCTTGATCTCCCTTCCTTCCCATCACCTTTAACCACACATTTTCAACGGTCAAAATGCTCGTTTCCCATTAAAGCTACAACGGTAAAATATTCAATTTCTACTAAAAGAGCCACATTTATGCTGAACTAGTTAGCTTCTCCAGCCTCTCCTGTCGTCTATTGTCTGTTATTTCTTGGTTTCATTCAATGGAAGCACAATTGACATTTTATTTTTTGAATCCCAAATTTAATGGTCCCGGCCCATATCTAGGCCCTACTAAAAGCCACGAGGATAGGAGGGAAAATATTGACTCTTGCAAGTTAAACGCTAGTAGACATATTACAAGTTCCAAAACAAGATAAAAAAACATAGAAAAAGATAAAAAAGAAAAGCCCCGAAACGGCCTATTCGTGGTTCCGGCTTGAGATTGCCATTACAATAAACCCCCCCCCCCCCCCCCCCCCGCCAAGGCTGTTCATCCTCGACAATTGTGCTTCAGCCTTCAAGGTTTGGGTCTCGAGCCTTAGGTCTCGATCCCATATGCCTCGACGCCTCGTGCACTTCCAGAGGAATATTAGTAGAATACATTTTTAAAATAATTAAAAAGAAAACATTGCAAACACCCAAGTCCGTTGAGTTACTGATAAACCTAGAAGTTGTAGCGTTGTAGGGCCCTAAAGCTGGCCGAAAGAGTGAGCAAGGTAAGCTAACGCTCCTACAAGGGGTGCGTTAATGTACGTTGCTGGTTCTGACTGCTCATAATCTGACCGTTGATCTGGAAACCTGTCATGCTGGTCTGGCCCACCAATGACTGCACCGACCAAAATGTTAGGGTTGGGGGATTGAGAGTTCATGAAATTAAAGCCTGCGGAGCATTGGATCTTGGCTGGGTGCTTTGCAACGGACGGCAGAGATGAGCCCCTGTGGTGTATCCGTTGTGGGTAGCTTGGACCGTATCCCACCATGTAGGACATCTTCAAGGGATTGTCCCCTAGCAGATAGTCCGCCTGATAATAACGCATTTCTAAAGTTGGTTAAATGCACAAAGGAAACACTGATAAATGAAAATGAATCCCACAAACAGAAAATCCTGTGAATAGTGATGTTGATTTTGTAAATTGCAATTACCTGTTTCTTGGCAATGGTTCGGAGCCTCTTTGGGGTGACCATGGTGCCACCGCAGTTAACAACCTGGTGGGCAGAGGTTAAGTATTTGGCATAGGTTAGAAGTAGGAATGAAGTAGAGGTCACATACTGCATGTTGCTGTCACTCATCTTAAACAGGAGCCCACCTGTTTACAGCAAGAAAGATAAGAAAAAAAAATTCAAAACTAGCCGTTTACAAGCTTAAAGTTTTCATTTATTTGGCGAGGCTGGAGTGGAACCTGGGGTATATTGAGCTGAAGAGAATGGGGCTCCTGGTATGAGAGAACAAATGAATTTATCTGCGTGACCTTTGTAATCATGGAGAGATTGCAGTCTTTGAACTAGAAATGCCTGAAAATTGCAAGGACGAGATTAATCATTTAATTGGATGAAGATGAACAGAAGCACCACGTTGAAAGGAGATTAAAAGTAAGGAACCTTGGAAAGAAGAATTCTTGCTCCAACATGTTTGTTATCCCATCCAAATGTGTTATCAAACTCTGCAGCTCCAAGAGTCTGCCCATTGACTTGAATGTAGTTCAGGTAGGTTGGACTCTTGGTGGCTCGGTGCAGCCAAGCAGCACCCCACAAAAGTTCATCCTAACATTAATAAAATACCAGAGAAATAAATTAGATTGACATATACTCACATTATCCCATGGAAACTACACTTAAAGTAGAAAAGTTTAGTAACATTAATGCACCTGATAACCAGAATAAGAGCAATAGAATGGGCACACAACTTTCTTCAATCCATTGCTATAGGGTCCTCTGTACTTATCAGCAAACTCAAACACCTAGTAATCGGAAGTCAGAAACAACACAAATTTTCAATTTTTTGAGAAAATTTTGAATAGAGCAGGAATAATTACATATTTATCTTGTAGGAATAAGAATTTTACCCTGATAGCCCTCCTAACCAAAAGCTTGGAGTAAGTGGGGTCACTTCTTCTGAAGACCAAAGAGGCAGCTGCAAGAGCAGCAGCAGTTTCCCCTGCTACATCAGAACCAGGAGAGTTTTTGTCTATTTTGAAAACAGTCCTTGGAGTGTCCATGTCTTCTGGTCTTTCCCAGCAAGAATGGTCCTTTTTTGCATCACCAACCTACACAACAACCCAGAGGCAGCATTAGTTCTTCTGTTTCTTATTTTTAAATTTTCCTTCCATGTGAAACAACAAAAGAATGCAATTCTCTGCAAAATAAAGCACAAATTTTGAAGTGTTCAGGGAAAATAAGGTAATGATACCTGAACATAAATGGTGTCTGGATGTGCAGTTGCTTTGAGCAAGTAATCTGTAGCCCAACGGATGGCTTGTTTGGCATTTTGTAACTCCTCTTTCATCAGCCCGCCAAATTCAATTACACTCCACGAGAGCATGGTGGTGGTGAAGGCCATGGGGAAGCCAAACTTCACATTATCTCCAGCATCATAGTATCCTCCAACCAAATCAACCTGCATTTTCAAATTTCACACTCAAATGAGGACAGATGACAACCCAATGTGAAGGAGAAAACGAGAAAGAAACAGACTGAGCAAAAGAGACACGAGAACATGGTTTTGTATATTTACATGCATGGCTGTACCATCTGAGAGGCCAGAGTCTTTCCTCCAAGTAATCCTCTGGTTAGAAGGAAGCCTCCCTGACCTCTGGCCTTCAAAAAAGATGATTGATTTAGTAAGAGCATCTCTGTAGTTGTGCTTGGCAAAGCGAGGGTGGTGGCGAAAAGGGTTGTTGCGATGGGAAGGAAAACCATTACACTGAAGGACAGAACCAGTGAAACAAGCAAGCAGGACTATTAGAGCCAAAGAGGAAAGAGAGAGAACCATTTTTCAGGCAGCCCCAAAGTGTTTTCTACCCCCAACCAACCAACCTGCAAGCCACAGCTAAGGGCAGAATCCCTTCCTTTGTTCTTTATATAGTGAAAGCTGCATCTGTCACCTTGGTTACAAGTTACCACTACATTCTTTTTCTTTCTTTGCTTTTTTAACAGGTTACAACTTAAGAATAACTTACGGGTTTCAAGTTAGAACAATAATTAAGTCCACATTCTCTAACAGGTGATTGGCATTGTATCATAAATTTTACTCGTTTTCCCAATATCTTTCAGCATTACTTTATTGAAATGTAGATACCCTTTTCAACCCAATGTTCACTTGCCCAAAAATAAGGACACGCAGTCAGGCAGGGGAGTGTTAATAGCAGAAATTTCCGTGGTCACATGGGTCTTTTGATTACATTTATTAATGTTCTGTCAATGTGTTCTTGGAAAATTGTCCAACAGTGTTATGACATGTAAGTAATGTCAGGAGCATTTTTCCCACACCTACAACTGCAAATCTGCATAGGATGTTCGAATTTTATCTTTGGCATTTCATTATATCCATTGAATAGTGATCCATTAAAGAATGATTCTGTTCTACACACCTAAAATATACAAGTGAAGAAGGGGCGAAACCTCAGGCTAAAATGTGAAAGAATGCCAGGAAAGTAAAGCAAAAGGTACATTCCTTTCTCGATGGTAAGTTCAGATGATTTTGAGGGTATCCCCTAATAATCATACTTAATGGTATTAAGAAACATGCAATGCATTCATTTTTCACTAGCTAGGCTCCCCTAGTTTTGTAACAAAGCTTAGAGGAACTCAACCAACTAATAAAAATGAAATATCACGAAGGTTCAAAAACATTATTGTTGTCAGAGAGAAAGGTGTTCAACAAAAAATGGGGGGTGAAGGGAGATCGGTGTCGACGTCTAAGACTCAACACTTATGTCGGAGAAAGTTGGTGAATGAAAACATTGTGTCAAATGCTCTGTAAATCGATCTTTGAGTTCAATGAGTTAGTCACAAAAGGGTCGATAAAGGCCCATGCGGAAGTTTGTACTTTGTCATGTTGTGCTTGAATCCAGAATTCAAGATAAGCCAACGAACTTCTAACACTCATCTCCAATGCACATGAACATGAGATCATTTATACCGGTCACATCCACCACTAAACAATAATTTCTACCTATCTGTAAATGCCCGGCCGTACAATCTTGTTTCTCCCAATTTGGTCAACTTGCTTTAATTACATATTTCTTTGGTGCCTCAACTCAACCAATTAAAAGGTATAGCCTAGGCAATGGGCTTCTCTAAATTCTAAAACATTGCCAAAAAAAGGGGGCAAAGGATCAGATAAATCATGAGAAAATATGATGAAAGTTACAATCCATCTATATATCATACTATTCAAAAGTGAGTTTCTCCATGTGGCAGAGTTTTTTTTTTTCGAAATTATTTTTAATAATTGGACCCTTTTTTTTTGGTATTCCATATGCGATACAGCATTATTTAGGTTTTATTACCAATCAGAAAAGGATTGGAACAAGACTCGTACATGATGTTTGCCTTAATTTTCTGAATTATGTGTAAAGAGGAGCAGGAAAAGGACCCATGCCATGTTTCCAAGCAAAATGGTGAGGCAGTGACCAGAGTTCGATGCCAATGAACGCGGAAAAAAAAAAGCAGTAAGAGAGACCTACCATTTATATTATTGAAACAGAATTAAACTGATCGTTGTCAATATTAACATGCAAAACAATCTCGTAAAACAAAACTACTAGAAAGTAAGGAAAATATTTTAAGATCAAAATGTGAAAGTTTAGATAAAAATGTTTCACTTTATATATCTAAATTTGAGTATATGTTAGTGAAATGAATATAAATGGAACGCGGAGAAAATAAATAAATTTAAAAAAATACTTATGGTGAGAAAACGATAATGGGCAAAAATAAAAATAAAAAATCAACCCAATATCGTTGCATGTGCTCTTCTGGAATCCTCCCACATGCAAAAGCATGCAGTGATGTTCCCATCTTCCATCTCTGTAAAAAGCGAAGAAGAGACTAATCAGTACTCATCAAACTGCGACGAAAAAGCTGACACAAACATTACTCACATTACAAACAAAGTTGAAAATGAAATGTGCAAGAATTAGGGCAATGCTAGTATTTGAGATTGGAGCTTGCTGGACCTTCACTACATACATTGCATTGCATGGAGGGCATGGACCTCTAAGTCAAATCATACTTTTTTTTTCCATTTGTTTGGGTCAGAAAAGGGGACATTCATAATATTAAAATAAGTTGCGATACATTACCTCTCACCTAGCTTCAGCAGCTAAAATGGTGATTAAAAATTCTGGTGGATCACTACAAACAACAAAATGACATTGAGGAAAAGGATCAGTAGATAATTGAGTGGACTACCTAGACCATCAGCACTTCGATTGCCGTTGGATAAAGTGGGAAATTTTAAAAAATATTATTAGAAGTAAAATGATCCTTAAAATATCGTTTGATGGTATAAGGAATGACTAATATCATACTGAAAAGAAAATCGACTCCTCCGGTCCCAGGACAAGTATAATAATTCCCTTTTAAATTTTGAACCAAATTATAAAATAACCCTTATTTGAAATAGATCCAAAATAAATCAGCAATGAAACGGCTATTTCATCCATTATGTGTAAACTCTTTCAAATACGCCTTTGTTCTTTACTTTTCCTGAACAAAGCCTGCATATTGCAGTTTGCACAAGTGCTAGCAGCCTCATGATTGCTGTTCTCTGAACTCTCTAGGTCTCTGGATGATGGGTCGGGGTTTCATTTTTTTCTAACAGTGTTAGTAGTATTTTCAATCCCGCGATTTCCGGTCTTTGCGGTTAAATGGAGTCATTATTTCAACGCTTTGGGCATCCTATGTGGGTTTGGGACCATACTCTACAATGGAGTCATCGGTGCTGCCAATTGCCAAGTTAATTAAAAAAAAAAAACAATAATTGCTAATTCAAAAAATCCCTCAAAAAAAAATATATATATATATATATATATATTAAAGAAACAACATGGGCCCGTGAGTTAAATTACATGGGCCAAATACCTATCTGGATAATATAAAAAAACTAGCCTAACAGGTCCAGTGTATTAAGCCGACTAAAAGCTGAATGCAAGGCGGGAATCTTTCATCTTTGAAACTCACTACTTGAATCTGTTCCGATGCTTTGGACCGTTGGCTCCGTTCGCTATGTAACAAAAGAAAAAGAATCTGCTCTGATTACTGAACCCCCAATGCCACCCCCACCCTAACTCTTCTTTGGTCGGTGAATTTTGATTTAAAATTCTTAAATGAATTGCAAACAATTTATACGAGCAAAATCTCCTAAACTAAAGCATTTTATTAATTCTATCAGAAAAGCAATTTGACATGTGATGGTAGTTGATCAGAATGTGGTGCGGCTACCTTGATCAAACCAAAACAAAAGCAAATTACTTACAAAAAAAAAAAAAAAAGAAGTTAAGTGACATTTAGTTTTCAATTTCAACTCAAATCTAGAGAGAACGGAATATCAGTAGAATTCAACCACTCGTTTCCTTGTATAAATAGCCCAACAGTGAACTGACGTGCCTCAGTCGAGCTGTTGATGACCCTATAACCAGGCCAAGTTACTCTTGCACTCGTATTCGACCCTGGGCCTCTGTTCAAATACTCCCCATAATAAAGGGTACTCAATGCAAATGTCCCATTCCATTCTAACCATCCAGTAGGATCCACCGAATCATCAATGTATGTATTCATAATAACTGTCCTGGAATACTCTTTCCAGGGACGCCCCAAATACGTTTTGAACGATGATTTTTCCGGGATTAAATCCGCAGCAGCAGCAATCTTACAGTTCAAAATTGAAATCCCAGTGTTTTGGTTAGGGTCTTCTCTTCCTTGAGCTGTGAAAATGTTCTTTTGGTTTGGATTCGGTTTACGAGCATATAAATTGCAGCCTTGGAAAATCACAGCTGCGTTGCCAAAGATGAAGTCAACTGTACCATATATGTCACATTCACGATAGAATTGCCTGAGGGAATGGACGTAGAGAGTATCCTGGTAAGCAACGAAGCTGCACTTATAGAATGCAGAGAGGTCTGACCCACTCCTTAAAGCCACCGCTTGGTGTTTGCTTGGCCCTGCTGAGTTCTCAAAGGTCATCCCCTTGGCTATGAATCCGTTACCCACCACAGCTGAAGGAAATTGAAACAAAACACAAAGAGAGTATACTTTTAATTAGTTGGAGAACCATCTGAATGATTAAAGCAAATAAAAAGGGGATCCAAGAAAGAAGAAAAACAAATCAATGAGCAGACCCACTTTAGCATGTGGGCAAGTGGCAACTGTGGAAGTGGTTGAATTTCTAGTAAAAGTTTTTTTTTTTTTTATCAAAGTTTTAAGTGATTATTATGTCATGATTTTATAAAGAATGGAATAATGTGTTAAATAAAAGAAGGTTAAGACAAAATCAGTAGTTAACGCGCTTCGATTAATCCGGGATGCACGGCCATCAGGAGATGCATGTCCCTAATCCTGAGCCACCGACAAAAATCAAAATTGAAGCAACGGCCGTGAAAACATCTTTCCCAATCAGTATTCAGTGATACTCAGTAATGAGTGACTTTGGGGCTAGATATTAGACCAGGGTCCATGAGCAGCACTCCTTTTTTTTTTACCCCGATAGAAGAACAAATGTTAAGGAGATTTAATGAGCTTGACTGTCTGAACCTTATAAAAAGCTTATCGCACCAATATATAGCCATCACGACTCATGACGTGGAATTACATAATTTTTGAATATTTCTTTCTTTTTTTTTCCCTACTGGGTCAAAACAGCAAAAAGAAATATATTTTACATATTTCCTCCCCATTTTTTAGGTTTTCATAGGAAAGCATTTGCATAGGATGTATTGATTTTCGCCGTTATTCTTTTGAAGAATATTATAAGAGGATTTTACTAAATAAGACGAAAATTGATTATTCATTTCGAAAAAAACATATTATATTTAGAATCAATTGTACAGTTATAATCCCTGACATCTCTTGTTACTAGTTTCTAAACAAATCTCAAGTAAAATCAATAAATTTCAATAACTTTTATATAAAATCATATGATAAAAGAATTATTGTAAAACATTTAGGTAATTCCTTTAGGATGAAAATTTAAAAGATAAACAAATAAAGAAGAATAGTACATTGAAAGAGTATGTAAAATCTATTTTAGGCATTTAAAATGGTGAAAAGGGTTTGCAGTCCATCATAAAATGCCAAAAACAGTAGCAGGACAACCCTTGATAAGCCCTCCTCGGTGGAGTTGCTTTACCATTACATGCATAACTTGAATGATATTGGTTATTAGAAATAAGAAATGTTTCTCTGCTTTTTGCATAATAATGCCGCATGTCTATTCTATTCTAGTCTATTCAGAACATTACAAATTACCTTAGTTGTAGCCAGTACATGGAAAGAGACTAACAAGGGTAACTAAATAGTAAAATGTAATAATTATAAGTTTTGAAAATCTAAGAAAGCTAAGCCTTAATTAATCATTTAATCTCACCAGTAATCCCATGGACGCTTCCTAAATTCTTTCTATACTAGTGGCAGTATATCATCCATAGCTATGCAGTACAAGAAAAGGCATTGAGTGAACACTTTAACAAGACCTTTTCGTCTGATTGGTCAAAAATCATTGGTCCCACAACGAATAAATCCAACATAGGTTCTCCCAATCGAGAATATATTATAAAAAATTATAGGCAAAAAAAAAAAAAAAAGAGAAAGTTATTTGAAAATTTCAAACTCACCGACGGTTGCCGAACGGAAAGTCGTAGAGCCATCAACGACATTTCTGCTGGCCTTCACTACTGTCTTCCCGATCCCATCTCCCACAAACATCAGCATTTTCTTCTTCCTTTCCACCTCTACATTTTCAAAATAAGCCCCGGCTTTTATATATATCACAAACCTATTTCAATAAATCAGCAGCTTTAATCAACTCATTTGGCTTTTAGTTGATGTTCTCAATATAACATTTTATAGCAGAAGTAGCATAAATTTGTTAACTAAATTAACCTTGTGTCACTGTTGTTTGGAGCTGCTGCAACAGCGTCGGTGATCGTAGTGAAGTTTCCAGTGCCATCCTCGGCAACTATCAGATCGAATTTGGTTTCATTTACTGAAGTCTGTAGAAGTTTTCGATCTTTCCGGGATAACCATTCTGGGAACCCGTTTTTCACGTGTCCGTATTCAGGGAAAACCTCGGATTTGGATATGTTAACACTAGGGACTTTGTTGAGCATGACAAGAGAGTTGCTAACGTGATGAGATATGTTGTGCAGACCTCTTTTGATAATGTTCCTAATATTTCCTTTGCTATGAGCGAACCCATCAAGACACGTGTCCTGGTTCGTCATTGCTGCGCTTAAAAATGTCTGTAAGTCGTTGTAGTTCTTGGAGACGGCTAATTTTTTCGGGGCGAGATCAGTCAGGGCTACTTTCAGCTCCGCCAGGGTGTTATCAAAAAGCTCCAGGCAATCGTTTATAGCTGTCTCTTCCAATGTGTTGTAACTTTTGAGTCTCTTTTCAATGTTGGTGCAGTTTGAAGAGGAGAGTCTGACCTCGTACATGGTTTGGTTCAGGATTGCTGAGATGAGCTCCGGGAGTGATTTGGAGGCTAGATCTGGGAGAACGGAGATGGTGGAGACGCAAAGGTCGGGATATAAGGTGCCTTCACATGCTGAGTGAGCAATTTGCAGATGATTGTGGACATGAAAATGCTGGATTTGTGTGGTTTTGGGGCTCTTTAATAGAAGAGTTACCGACGAAAGCAGGACTAAGACAAGTGCTGAAATGGGTAAAAGAACATGCAAGGTCTTCGATCTTCCATTAGGATTGTACATATCTGATGCTAGTTTTTGACGTTGGAAATGGAAGACAACTGGAGAACAGAGAGGGGAGAAAAGGAGAGAGTTTAGAGACTGGCAGGTGCAAAGAGGCCAGTTGCTAAGCTCTTAAATAAGGTTGCTGATTGCTGTTGATTAGAGAGTAAGGTGGCCAACTTGTGGAGTTATGAGTCATGTTCCCCTGTGCTTGAAGTTGGGCCTCACAAGGTCTGCCTGAGAGGGAACTTCAAGGTTTTAGGACCCAATCAATTAACCGTAGTCTAATCCAATCTTGATGATGTTTAGAGAGTGAATTAACTTTTAGGGACAGATAGATTGTGGTGAATCTTTGTCGTGAATATGTAAATGTAAACCATAATCATGGAAGTCAAGCAGTAGTACAAAGTTAATGCATGGTAAATTTGTGACCTACAATTACTTTCTGTCTATAAAAAGGTTTGGCCTCTTGAGTAAGAGAAAAAAAAAAATTACTACTCCTGCCGTCACAATTCACAATGAAGTGATGTAATTAACATGTGAAATTAAGAACAAGCACTACGTGGCTAAAATTCAATGGTTGTACCGTAATAGAATACGAAAGTTGAGCTTGGAGTCTCACGAGTGTAATTATAATTAAGTTATTCAAACATTAAACATAATTTAAATCATGATAATCTCAACTATAAAAAAATATACTATATGTTTTCTTTTTTCACTTTTCTTTCCAAACAACAAAAATATATCTTACATTCTGACACCTTAAAAATATTATTCCACCAATGCCTCACGGCCATTTTAATCCTACATAAATATCAGAATAGTCAATGCGGACCAATTCAATGAAGCCAATCTTCCATATATAACAGTATAAACAATTTTACAATAAATCTTACAGATATCATGACATAAACAATTTTACAATAGAAATGAAGTTTGATTCAATAAACCGTATCATAAAATCTTTACTCTATTGACACATGAGTAGATTATGAACTAACACCTTATGTAACGGGTTAATCTATCATATTATTTCATTCTCAATGATAACAAATAAAGTTTACTTATACTTTGATACATTTTATATTGCCCAATTGATATAAAGAATCAATTCCTAGTGAAGCTTTCTTTGTATTTTAATTATATGAAGATTGTACTATAATATAAGGGAAAAGTCAGCAAAAACATGTTAACGATCAAATACAACGTAATGCACATGAAATTTTTGCAGTATTGATACTTTAGAACCCAATTGAATAGCATGCCATGAAACCATTATCGTTTTATCTGTAAGGCAAGAAAAGTTACTGCTACATCAACGTACATCAGGAGCCAGAATTTTCAAATGGTAAAGAAGCAATCGTGAGATTCAAATAGCACCAAAAGACAGAAGGTATGAAATTCAAATGGTGCCAAAAGATTTTGAAAATAGGCGGAAATGCCCAGCAGCACATGAGAGATTGAAGGCCGGTGGTACGTATGCCAAAAACGCCATGCTTTTGACAGAAGAGGGGACATTTCTAGCTATTCCCATATAAAAAATGTTTGATTCACATTTCACTTTTAAAACTCTACAGCTGTGAAATCAATGGGGTACAGTCATCACTACCCGTATGATTTTTACATTTCAAAGTTAAAGTAAAGCATCCTACTACGTGGATCGCAATTGCATATATAGGCACCGAAAATATTTTCTTCGTTTGCGGCTATGCATTTAGAGGTTTCTTTGAACTTTCTTTTGTTAATTGAATCAAGCTTGTCGCCTTTGTAATCAAAGGATCGTTTATCCTTAATTATTCATAGTTTTGAATGTTTCGTAAATTATTTTTGTTATCTAATTGCACTTTTACACGAGGGAATCATCCCATCATAGAGGTAGGCATTTTGGTATCTATGGCAGACTGGCAGTGGCTTGGCATTGATCATTGATGAAGTTAGGGTTGATTTTTTATTATATTGATTTGTTGCATAGAGCAGTCGCATTTCCTTGAAGGTTTGAACAAGTATAAATGGACTTGGCGGGGTTTTGCTGTTTTAGGACTTGTCAAGGCAAAAACAATTAATGTGCAAAGTTTTTTTTATAAAAAAAAAAAGGTGAAATTTTGTTATTTTATTATACTACCAGGTGTAAATTTTTTTAAACAGTCATTTATGTGCATGTTGGTTCTCAGAAAATAGTAGAGCATACAAATTGTTGTTGGTCAGAGGCCCATGCCCATCCCATTTGCAAGGAAAATACACTATATTTAGTAAACAGTTGGTTTATCAGGTTATTTTTTACTGTAAACAGTTGATGAATGGACATTGCCATTTCTTTTTCTCGATCGTACATACAGGAAATCAATTTTTGTGCGTGCCAACTTCTTGGCGAATTGGACACATGCCAAGAATTCTGAAGTTACTGAACTTCCCAATCCGCCGTATGCTTTGGGTTAGTTTTTTACATGATGATCTAGTGCGTAGGAGTGACAAAGCCAATAGCTTGTTTTGTTTTAGCAGGTTAGAGCTAGTGCATTTATCATCAAAAGTGTTAGTGGGCTTTGGATATTAAACATATTTCGACTTAAAATTTCTGTTGGGCTCCATGGAGGTTCTCATTTGAAAGTCCAACATGGCAAACTTCCCGATCCTTACTTTTCTTAGGTTGGACCAGATTTTGAAACAACTAACAACTCAGTGAAACTAGGCCAACCCATAAATACTTTGGATGTTAGGTTTTAAATTATTATTCAATACACTGTTAAAGATTTTATAAATTATGCAAATGGCTTTATATAATTAACATATGTCTATTGGATAATTATTTCACTTATAGTTTATGGACATTTAACTATGTGAACTTGCTTATAAAGTTTAAAATTTTCAAAGCAATTTATAGAATAATTTTCCTAAGTTCAACCCAGATAAACCAGCTTTATATACATAAAAAAAAAAAAAGGAATTCTGCAACCAAGAGATATAAATATTCCATCTAATACATAAGTATAAATCTTGCATCCTTTTAGAACTTAACCATTTGGACTAACTATTTTCAAAACATAGATTCCAAATCTACCCATCAAGATATTTTTGGGAATTTTTTTCCAATAAAAGATCAGTCACATTTCCCTTTATTATTACTTAATAGTAACAATAAGCCTCATGCAACATCTCTAAGGGAGGTAGCGTCTGAACTTTATATTATTACTGCATGTCTGGAAACAAGAGGGTGGTGAAATTGCACTATATTTTGGGCAAGTAAAAGCTGTGATGTATCAGATTAGTATTTGACTTCATGCATATGCTAAACGATACACATATACATATAGTTGATAGTACCATGGACCATGCACTAATGCATTCGAATTTAATATGGTTAAACATAGTATCTTATTACCAATTTGGGATTCTTGCTGGACTCTAACTTGAGATATATATACTACATGCAATAAGATTAGAATAATGCAGATGAATTATGGTAGAACATACCATATATATGTTATATATTGCCAATTTGAAATTCATGGACTCTAATTTTGAGGCTTTTGTTTTCATCATGCACCGACTCGAAAACTTGGGTTTTATGGAGTATCCAATGACATTTAACGTTACTCAAATTTTCGAGGAAAAAGTGTTAAAAGGTTAGCAGGTGATCAAATTTCCTCAAATTCGTAATAATTACTGCATTTGGAGAGTTTTTTTTTTTTTTACAGTCATTGTTAATTCATCTTATACACATGTAAAAATTAATGCTAAACTTAGAAATAGTTAGTTTTAATAATTATTTGATTTTTGTTTGAGTAGTTTTATTAGAAAAAAAGAAAAAAAAACATATATAAAAGCAAGAATTAAATCAATCTGAAACTATAAGTCTAATTCACATTGTGCCTGCTATGCTCAAATTTAATCAAGTACAACATGAAGTCATAAACCATGAAACGTAGCCAAAAGTTTTGCTGCGACTAAACCAAAAGCAGTCGCCGGTAAAACCCCAACAACTCTGTCTCCCTAAAGGGCCCCTAAGCCCCTATATATCATGCTAGGTTGACTTTGATTTAATACAGTTAAGGCGAGGATAATAAGTTAATAACACAATTGGCAGCCGTCGCAAACTTTGTACATGCATGATCGATTGACTGCCTCCCTCATCCTCGTGATAAAAAAAGCATATACTGGTAACTTTTTTTTTTCAATGTTACATAAAGGTCAAAACTTAAATTTCAGAACGTAGACTGAGGGACCAAAGGCTCTAAAGAAAGTGATATTTCCTGGTTTGATCACATCTTTTGCGTGTCATTTTCCAGCTCTACGATCTCTGTTTAGTTAAACGATTAAACAAGTAACGAACAGTAATTGTAGGAGAAATAGGAAGTCGGTGTGGTTGAATGCAGAATTGAAGATGATCAACCACCGTGACATACCCCTGCCGGTGATTTGGAAAACCTGTTACCATGAAACTAATCTCCGCCAGCCTGTTTAGGTGTTCAAAATTTCAAACTTTCAAATACACCAACCTTTTTTATAATTAGATTAAGGGGTTTAAATTTTTAATAAAGAATTTATATTTAATACAATGTCAATATATAATTTATAAATCATATATCATCATTTCATTAATTTATAAATTTAAAATATTAGAAGATCTTAAAAGATAAAGTTAAAATAATTGATAATTAATTTTGTTCAATTAAATCTTTTTTTTTTTTTTGGTACATAAAATGATATAACCCATAAGGAAGGGAAGCAAAAGACTTGGTTTCGAACCAAGATTTCTATATTCTTAAGAATTCCTTAACTACTAAACTAAGGAGTTAAAGACTATTAAATAATCTTTAGTATTTATCTTTAAGGACTTCTATTTTTTTTTTTTTTCACAATAAAGAGTGCATCAAGTATGATTTAAGAATAAAATAATGGTTAATGATTTAAGTCATACATGTTTGAATTCAAACTTGGTAACTCTGAAATAAGTACTCCTATAGGATTTAAAATCTTGACTTTTTAATGCTTGATCCAAATTCCCTCCTAACTATCACAATCAATTTGTCATTAATTTTCCAATACTAATTTCTTCTTGTCTTATTTGGAAAATGTGCTAACCTTTTACTATGACCAAGTAGGATGACTTATTTTAAAACAAGTGGAAACGTTGAGCACATGTATATTTCCGCACAGAACTCCTATTGTTTTCAATAAGTATTTGCATTGCGAGTTGCGATCTAAAATTTTCCTTCTTTGCTTTATGAAAGAAAAAAACAACTTGTAAAATTCTTTAATGTCTTTGAGCGCCTTGCTTGGTCGTGGAAGAAGTTTGGCAAATGGCAACTTGGCTTCAATTTCCCATAGCAATTCCATTTTTCCAAATGGCCAAAACACTCTGGAACGCGTATTCTAGTCAAATTTAAAGCATACAATTGCAGCGTTTATGGAAGGTTTGGTTATTAGGCTAGATTAATCATCCAATCTCACAGGATAACGATGAGAAAGTGATAAACAAGTGGCGGCTTATTATTATATTATAGTTACACACTTAACTACGTTTAATCAAAGTGAATGCATAAGTTCATGGATATATATATATATATATATGTTTTTTTTCTTACTTGTCTGACTTGGCTGATGAATGATGATATACACATAGGAATTGGCTTCTTTTTAGTTTTTGTTTTATACTTGTCAATTCATAAATCAATCAGCCATTGGTTATTTTCCCAGACTTGATTAATGTTAAATCCAAAACATACGTAGGAATAAAATATTTTGAGCGTGTTGAATATAGGGCATTAGAGCATTTTTCTTTCAATCATGCTGCCATCATGGCTGGCAAATCCAATCCCAAATCCACCGTCTATAACCTAAACCCACTCTTCGGCGAAAGCAGTAATGAGAACTATAGGACATTTGGACAAAAATGTTTTGGGCTTAGTTCGAACGTACTTTCTAGACATTCATTACTGGCTTTAGATCTGTGTCACCTGAAACTGAAAGCATTTTAGATGATAAAAAAAATGCTTGTTTTATGGTTCAACAAAACAAGCTCTTCAATGTTACTAGATATCCCAATTTAGATGACAAAATGTGATCGTGACTTGACTTCCATCTTCAATTAGTTTTAACAGCGTTAAATTTGGTTTTTAACACATGTAAATACATTGCAAAAGAGTTAGTGATGAAATAGCAATTCTACATATATAAATGTTATGAATAATGGTAAAGATAATTAGGCTAAATTAGGCAAGACCATACATGCATAGATGAAAATTCCAATGGGAATTAGGCAAGGAGCTAGGACATTTCCCACCCCAGGAATAAACTGCACTATATATGCGTTTGGTAGATGGTATATATGTTTGAAAATTTTGCTCAAAAGCTAGCTTGGCTTCCCTAACCAATGACCATGGATTAGAATTTTGGACATCTAGCTGCGCGTTTTTAATAAGTCTTAGCAATTGACTTTAATTTATAAATGAATTAAATGGTTAATGGTTTATCCTCTAAAATTCCCTAACATTAGAAAAAAAAACCCAAGTATTACTAAGTATATGTCATGATAGAAGTAGAATCAATCTAATTTCTGCCTATTTAAATACACCTAATCCACGAACAAAATCTGCAATAATCAGCTCAGCACTCATTTGTTAAAGAAATTAGTAAAATCTATGGCTTCCAAGCTCTGCTCTCTTGCAACAATCTCTCTGTTCATTCTTCTTCCTTTCTTCATCTCTCCTTCTCTTGCAGATGCTCTACTATCTGATCCTGTCTCACCGGGGATCATTTGCAAGTCCACCCCCGACCCTTCCTATTGCAGATCTGTGCTTCCTAACCAAACCACCAATGTCTACGAATATGGTCGATTCTCTGTTCGTAAATCTTTGTCACAGTCCCAAAAATTCCTCAACTTAGTTGAAAAGTATCTAATACGATACCGATCCTCGTTGTCTACATCCGCAATTCGTGCCTTAGAGGATTGCCACTTTCTAGCTGGCCTGAACACGGATTTCCTGTTGAAGTCCTTTGAAACTGTCAATGCCACTAGTCAAACTCTGTCCCTTGCGGAAGCGGATGACATACAAACCTTTCTTAGTGCTATTTTAACTAACCAGCAGACCTGTTTGGACGGCATACAATCCACTGCTTCAGCTTGGAGCATAAGGAACGGCCTCTCGGTTCCTCTGTCAAATGACACAAAACTCTACAGTGTTTCTCTGGCTCTTTTTACAAAGGGCTGGGTTCCTAAGAAGAAGAAAAAGGCCGCATGGCAGTATAGTAGCAAGCAGCTAGGTTTCACACATGGGCGTTTGCTTCTGAAACTGTCTAGCCGAACACGCTCTATTTATGAGACCGTAAGCAGAAGAAAGCTTCTTCAGACAAGTGATCCTAATCAGGTCTCGGTTAGTGGCATTGTGACGGTGAGTAAGGACGGTAGTGGAAATTTCACTACCATCAACGATGCTCTCTCTGCAGCACCAAACAACACCAAAGGTTTAAATGGTTACTTCTTGATTTACATCAAGGCTGGTGTTTATCAAGAGTACGTTTCCATTGCTAAGAACAAAAAATACTTGATGATGATCGGTGATGGTATCAATAAGACAATTATAACCGGAAACCGCAGTGTTGTTGACGGGTGGACAACATTTAAGTCCGCAACTTTTGGTAAGTTTTAGTTCAAAAACCATTTTAAGTAACTACATGTACATTTGAAACTGCACAATTTTTTACTACTTCTTGTCTAAGCAAAATGAGCTTAATCTGACAAATATTGTTTAATATTACAGCTGTGGTGGCTTCAAATTTTGTTGCGGTAAACATAACTTTCCAGAACACAGCTGGAGCAATCAAGCACCAGGCCGTCGCAGTTAGAAATGGGGCTGATTTGTCAGCATTCTATAGCTGCAGCTTCGAAGGATACCAAGATACTTTGTATACTCATTCCCTAAGGCAGTTCTACAGGGAATGTGATATCTATGGCACTGTTGATTTCATATTTGGAAACGCTGCCGTTGTTTTTCAGAACTGCAACATATATCCCCGACTGCCAATGAGTGGACAATTCAACGCCATCACTGCACAAGGCCGGACCGATCCTAACCAGAACACAGGCACATCAATTCATGGCTGCAAAATCATGGCTGCTGATGATCTGGCCTCGAGCAATACCACCTTCAGTACGTATCTAGGGAGACCATGGAAGGAGTATTCGAGGACAGTATACATGCAGAATTTCGTGGGAAGTTTGATTGATCCTGCTGGTTGGATAGCATGGAGTGGAGATTTTGCCCTGAGTACATTATACTATGCTGAGTTCAACAATGATGGACCTGGATCAAACACTTCCAGTAGAGTCACATGGTCGGGTTACCATGTGATTAATGCTATCGATGCTGCTAATTTCACTGTGTCTAGCTTCTTGTTGGGAGACAACTGGTTACCAGGTAAAGGAGTGCCTTACACTGCAAGCTTAATATGAGCAACTAAGCAATTAACGGATGAATTATACCTTCTTTCAATTTTTTTTTTTTGGTCATGGTTTTTATTATGATATAATAAGAGCGAAAATACCTGAGCTATTCAAGTGTACAGCTTGGTATTATTCGATATGTAATGTTAATTGATACTAATACCTTCAATTCTTAATTTGAAAGAAAAAAAAAAAAGGAATGCAATTAGGCTATTGATCAGCTACTGATGATTCATGCGACAATGATCTAAAATTTTCCAACATAAGTTGAACAGGACAAAATCAATGAAAATGTTAACATCATTAATTAATCAAATAACACTATGATTTTATTAAAAGGACCTTATGTCTTGTCCCCACTGCTTAATTAATCAAAGAACATGTAATGTTGCTTCATTTAGAAAAGTTGTTAGAAAATGGAATGCTGATATGCAATGAAGAGGAGTGTAAATTACTACTTGAACATTATTAACTTCATATAGGAAAATGACAAGTTCCATTAATATTCGAAAAGAGGAAATTCCTCGGAGGAATTCCAACTAAAATTAAAGTTGTCCAGCTCATTCACTCATTCGATACAGTTAACCTGCAAACCTGTTAGTTGTCCGTTCCAGTCATCTATAATTGCTTCTAAGTTTCTTTTTTCCTTTTAACAAATAGTTTGGTACTATTTGTAATTAGTTTGGTACTGCTTACTTTGAAAGTAACAAGCACAATTATTACTCATTAGAAGACAATATATTCCATTAAAAGCCACTGACATATAAAAAGAGAATTGGGACACGATCAGGCATGTTTGTCCCTTTTAATTTGTATGATCAGAAACATATATGCACAAAACCCAATTGTCTTCTGCTCCAAAAACCCTTATTAGCGACGTAGCCTGATACAATAAAAGTATGTATAGTGCTCTCGAAAGTACTTGGCATAATCAATTAATAGCAGCAAATGAAAATAGCTAGGCCGGTACATCACCTAATTTGAAGCCAAAACATTGACGATGTCCAATGCATTGCTGCATAGTTGGAGAAAGATATTATTCTTATTTAACAGGTCCGAGTCGTTGCCGGGGCGTTGCTTCAGCCCAGTCTCACAAGTGGTTGCATCATCAATGGCAACTTGCAACCAGGTTTTCACATCTTTGTAATTCCTTGATACCAGGGCTGCCAGGGAATCATCAAGCTGCTGCATTGCGGATCCGTAATTGTCTAAGCAGTCCTCGAAGTTCTGCTCGACGGCAGGCTCCAATGTTGTACCATCGAGAGTCTTCTTCATGTAAACGGATGTGTCCGACCCATTGTTGGAAGCGACCTTGATAGCTATCAAGGCGAGGGCAGCTAGGTCGGCGTCTTGGGTGGCATGTTCAGCCTCAAGGCTTGAGATGCAGAGATCCGTGTTTTTCACCTTTTGACAGGTTTCCGCAACTAATAAGGTGTTGTTACCAGCAGCGTTTAGTAAGGGCAAGAAAGAGAGGCAAAGGGAGAAAGATAAAAGCATGGCAACACTATTTGTGATAGGCCTCATCGATTTCTCCTCTAGTTTCTTGCTTTTCTGCCTTTTTTGCAGTTGGAACTTTGAAAAGGAATCGTGCTTAAAAAGAGGAAGGAAATAATGTGGGATCGTAACTCGTTATTCAAGATGATGTCCGTTGAAACAAGAATTTCTAATTACGACTTTTACGACATTGCTCTATCTAAAAATGGGGGAAAATTAAACAGATTCAAGAAAGAACATTGACCGCTAACCCAAAGACAGATGCGCTTAGCCACTCACAATGAAACCGTTTGAGGAATGGTGAGGTTTGATGGTGTTATATTTGCCATATTTAGGAGATGAAAGTCAATAATATGGCATTCCCTCAATGCCCAGAACTGACACTCCTTTTTTTTAAGAAATTACACAATGATGACACTTCTTTTATTGATAAGCCCATAGTTATTGGACTCCTTTGCTTGTTGTTAGGCAAAATTAGGCTTGAATATCAAGGCCAGCCAACCAACTGCCCACCGGCCCACCCCACCCAAAGAACAAAAAAAAAATGGAATTCGGTATCATACTGGGATGTGGTCATAAGAAGCAAACAGCCTTTTTAAGAAAATTATAAACTTTAGTTAATTAAAAAAATTTGCTAAATCATGATATACCTTAACTAATGAAGCAAAGGAATTTCTATCGATAAATTATTTTTTTTCACAACTCCATCTGTAGTAGGATGAACATCCTATTCATTCCTACTGACTCGAGGTTTTAATTAATAACAAAATTCATATAATTTATAATTTTTTTATAGAATCTCAAAATTTTATATTTAATACATTTTCAATATATAACATATACTGTTAATAGATATATTATATCATTTCATTAATTAACAAATTAAAATTTTGCAAATGCTTAAAATAAATATACAAAAACTTAATTTCTTTTTTAATATTCCTAATTAATAAAATATTATCGTATAATTCATCAACAATGTACATAATTTATTTATTAATAATATATCCAATATAAATTTGAAATCTAATATATTAAGTAAACCACGCAAGAAGATATAAAATAAAGTAAAATCAATGATTATTATAGTAATGATGTAACTTGACCCATCACCATATAAATATAAATATATATATATATATATATGCATATGCAAATAAATAAAGATAGCATTTGTAATGGGTTAATGAAGATGGTTGGTTTACCTAGGATAGATTTTTTTTTTTTTGTTTGTTGCATGAATAAAATTAGCTTAGAGCCATTTTTATTTAGTCTGTTAATTTATTGTTTTGTAAGATGTGGTCATATTCTCATATATAAGGTGTTATGATAATTTTTTAATAACTTGCCACAAATTAATTTCTTACATTTATGATTGATTTTTTTATAAAACGAATTAAATGAAAATAAGATATCTCATTTTAAAATCAAAGCATGGCATAAGTTTCAGTATAAATTTATAGTCAACTTACAGATAAAAAATAAATGACGAACCTAAATTTATAAGCATAATATCTAATTTTTATGAATTCAATCAATCCCTGTAAACTATAACTGACATTATAGTAAAAGTTTTTTTAATAATTTCTCATTATTATAATTACGTAATAAAGACATCAAAGAAAAACACCATACGTATGCTAATCGTAGTTAATAAAACATCTAGAATTAACGTGAAATATAAATCCAACCACCAAAACAGAAAGCTGCTGTAGAATTTAAAGATCACCGTCGATTCCCTAACTTTCATTCAAGGCTGTGAGCAATTCGTACGTTGACTTTTGAAAAACCTAAAACTAATTTCATTATATTACATTGGATAGCCTTAAGAATTATGACGGGTTTAATTATATTTGATGCAAATTTCTGTTTTTTTATGCTTAAAAAACCTTACGTTTTCTTTTATATATATATATATATATATATATATTTAAGCATGATTTAGAGCTAGAATTGCTTAAGCTGGGTGATGAATGATTGCCACGTTTACAAATTCCGGCGTCTTTCAAGAACTCTGTCTTTGTAAATTGTAACAACAATTTTTGTTTCTTTCTTTTCTCTCTTGCCAGAGATACCTGAACCAGACTGCCTTCATTTGAGTAAATAAGTACATTTTACTAGATTTTACATACTACTCCTAGTCCTAGTATACGCTCCAAATCCTCCTCAGACTTAGAATGCGATTACCCGAATCCACATCTGCAACACCCGTTAATATGTCTTCTCTAGTGGGGACCTCCACAAGAATTCCCACCCTCACTAGCTCTAGCGTTTTCATGGTGCAACTCTCCATCTTTAATAACGACGGCGATGACGGAGACGACGAAGACGACGACAAAGAAGAAGCAGTAACTGAAGATCTATTCATCTCACTATATTCTTGAGGAGGCTCTGAACTGGCTGATTCAGCCACTGTAACAACGGTCTGCTTTAGGTGGGTTGACCGGACTATCAGCTTGGACCGGAGCTCTACATACTGGACAGTTAGAGTGGCTATAAAACCACATGTCGATGCAGTCAACGTGGAACGTATGATTACACTTAGGCAAAACGCGGGCTTTCTCATCGTTCTCGAACTCGGACAAGCAAACAGAGCATTCAAGTGAAGGGAAATGGGTGGCTTTGGTGAAGTAAGTAACAGTAGGGATTGTTTTAATGACAGAAGGATCCAAACCTTTGGAATCAACGATGGTTTCAGTAGTACTGGCAGTGGAAATGGAAAGCAAGTGCTGAGTACGTCGGCGGCTGTAACGGCGACGGCGGTTGCAAAAAAGGTTACGAGCGTAGTTGTAGAAGCAGAGTATGACAAGAAATGCTACGAAAAGAACGATGACTGTGCAGAGCATTACTTTGCCATGAAGAGCATAATTAATGTGTTTCTTTGGTGAATCCGTGTAGTTATCCATGAAGGAAATTAAGGAAAGGTATGGGAGAAGGTGAAGTCTTGAAGAAAGGTTTGTTTGGCGCCGCGGGGGGGGGTTGTAAGGGGTTTACGGAGAGAAGAGGGAAAGGAAGAGGAAGGTTCCTATATGACGAGTGTGTTGGGTTTGGATTTCTTTTTTCTTCGATATTCGGTTCAATTTTGGCCTTAGAGTAAAAATGGTAAGAAAAGTTGACGGGGTTTTTATTATTTTATCAGCTGCTGCAGGGGTCAGTCTAAGGCTTGAAGTTACGATAAGTTTTGTAAGTTTAGTACACCAAGTTTAATAAAATTTTGAATAAATAAATTAATAAAATTTAATGTAAAAATTAATAATTATAAAAAATAATTAAAAATATTATTTATAATTTAAATTAATTCATATTTATTCGATAATAAAAATTTTATCGATATTTTTATTTATAAATATATATTTAATAAATATATTAAAAGTTTTAAAATTTTACATATTTAATTTATATGATAAAATCTTTTAATTTATTTATTTTTAATAAAATATTTCACAAATTCTAATTATAAAACTTCCTATAAATTTTTCCCAAACTTTAATTGTCTTTTGTGTTTGTTTTCTGTCTTCCACTCTTCTTTGTATGTTAACTGATTTATATCCTGTCGTCAAAGCCCGGAAGATCAAGTGAATATACTTGTGGCCCGACTTCTGTACCTTTTTATTGGAAAAAAGTAGATTTTTTTAAAGTATATCATCTCAATTATGTAAAATTCATAAAATATTTTATAAAATCTATACTTAAATAATGAATTTTTGCATATTTAATTTTTTCTAATTAAATAATTATAAAATTATAGTAAAAATTTTTCGGACTCACTCTAAGCTAACTAGTTACTAAAAATTTACTACCACTACTACTTTCTTTACTTTAACCAAAGAACTTTCTTCACCCATTTCTTGCTCTACATTTTTTCTTTCACTCTGTGGCATGTTTGAAATTCCAGAAATCAAGCTTTGCATCGACCTCGTTTGCAGGCCATACTGAGTGACTGCCTAGCCCTTACAAACTTTTTTTTACTGGTTGGAAGTTCATCTTTATTACAGGAAAGCAAGTAGTTTTGTTGATATTTTTGCGAGGTTCTTCATGATATTTTACACTTTCCTGTAAATAAAAGAAAAGTAAATAACTATGACAAAGTCAGAGCATAGGCTGTAAAAAGCTGCCTACCTATACACTTTTACCTTCTGCGTCTGATTATGGGGTCAAACGTTAAAATTTGTGCGACTGTGATAGCTCAAACTGGCTAGAATTAGCGTCCAAATAATTTTAAAGTTCGGTGACGAATAACATCCATACTAAAGTCTACGTTGAAGCTAAATTCATGATATTAGTGTTGTCGCTTCTCACACGGTTGAAAGTTGAATCAAATTTTTAGAAGTCCTCCAATTTTAACAACGGATTAGGATGATAATAAGGATTAGATGGAACCATAACAACTGATTTTGAGATCACCAGAGCTAAAAATAGTGGATTTGAATTTTAAATTTATATTTTATGTATTAATAGTATATTAATTTTATATATTATCAATAAATTATATATTATATTATATAATTATTTAAATAATTTACAAAGTAAATATATAAAATTTTGATTTTTTATTTTTAATTAATAAAATAATATTATATAATATATCAATAATACATCAAATATAAATTTTTTAAATTTAGTGCTCTCATTTAAAATATATAATAATAAAAACAATATCATAAATGTGAAAACTAATGAATTAGATTTCATTTTAATTTTATTTAAAATGCCGTTGACATTATCTTGAGATAATAGATACGAAATCAGAAAACCTATTTAAAATGCCATTGGCACGTTGGTACCTTTACATTTTGTCCAAATATTTTGTTTCCATATTAGTAATTCTTTGGGGCCAAGATTCTTTATTTAGTTTTAATTGATTGCATTTGCTTTATTTATAATTATTATTGGTATATGGTCATGTAATTTACACATGAATAAGTCATTAATATATTTAAATATGTTAAGTAACAAATTATTTTTTTATTTCTATAAAAAATACTTTACCATAATAATAAGGTATTTAAACGATAACTTTTACGAGAATATAGGTTAAAGAAATTCATTACATTTAAAACATGAAAAAAAAAAAACCACAGAACCTTCTTGGAGTGATTTTACTATCCCTATTATTTAAGTTGTTGAAAAACTAAATAATTTAATATTCAATAATTATAAATAAAAATAAAGTTAATTTAGTTATTTACTACGATGATTTGAAATTTCATATTTTAATTTAAAAAAATGATAAAAGATAATATAAAGTAAGGTCGAAGATTATGATTGAAAATGATTATATAAATCAACA